CGGGCCACGTTCGGAGCCTGGGACTATGGGGTCTTCGCGCTCATGCTCCTCGTGTCCACGGGCATCGGGCTGTGGGTGGGGCTGGCGCGGGGCGGGCAGCGCAGCGCTGAGGATTTCTTCACCGGGGGTCGGCGCCTCACGGCCCTGCCGGTTGGCCTCTCGCTGGCCGCCAGCTTCATGTCGGCCGTGCAGGTGCTGGGTGTACCGGCCGAGGCCTATCGCTACGGCCTCAAGTTTCTCTGGATGTGCCTGGGCCAGCTGCTCAACTCCCTACTGACCGCTGCCTTCTACCTGCCAGTCTTCTACCGCCTGGGCCTCACCAGCACTTACCAGGTACCAGGCAGAGAACCAGAGCCCACCGCCTGGCTGGGAACGCAGGGAGGCGTGGGGGAGCCCTGGGGCTTTGAACTGCTGTGCAGGGGTACACAGAACGGCGTCTTGGTGCTCTCCTGCCTCCCCCCCTTCCCCAAGGCATACAGGTGGGCAGGGTTCTGGGAAGAAGCCCCAGGCAGCCCGGGAGGGGCAGGAAGGAGGAAGAGGAGCCTGTGTCCTGGTTCTCTTTGGTGGAAGCCCCAAGAGGGTGGGGCCAGGTTCGGCCAGGTTTGCACTCACCTGTAGACAGGCACACACTTGCCCTGGACATGCCTCAGCATGCAGACACCTGAGTGCTCGAGGGACCTCGGGCTTGAGATTTGAAACCTGATTTCCCCTCTTTTACCTTCGGCAAGGGGCAGGCCTCAGCTCAGGTTTCCCAAATGTCCAACCTGGCTAACTACAGGACCTCCTTCAGGCCATGGATAAAGTGATTAAAAGCATGACTAATAACTGTTTGCCAAAGGCCAATCAGACACGAGTGAGGGGGGACGTGTACACACTTGATGGCTCAGTCCTCCTGGGCACACACCGTGGGCATAGGCCTGGAGATGGTGCACGTGCACAGGTGTGTGCAGACTGTCAGAGTGTGTGTGCTTGGCAGAGGCTCCCACAGGCAAGAGTGCAGAGAGCAAAGCTGGCCACCAGAGGGAGGGCAGAAGCCAAGAGGGCAAATGAAAGAACCCAGAGGTCTGGAGCCCCTAGGTAGGATCTGTCCAGGTGACCATGAGTCCTCTGCTCCTCCTTGCAGTACCTGGAGCTGCGTTTCAGCCGCGCTGTGCGGCTCTGTGGGACCCTGCAGTACCTGGTGGCCACAGTGAGTGGCCTGGGCTCTGCCCTCTTCCAAAGGGTCTTGCCTTCATCTGCCCCACCCAGAACCCTTCCCCATCCTTCACGACCCGTCCCCACCCTGCAAAGTCCTGCCCGGCCCTGCCCACTGAGGTCAGGTCTACAGGTCTGGCCTGCCAACTTCCTCCTTAAGCAGGACCTGACCCGGCCCTCACCAGCATGGCCCGCCCCACCTGCCTCCTCCCTACCGCAAACACCCCCCTTCTCCCATCTCCAGATTCATTCCTTGCCCAGTCACCACTACCACTACCCTGCCTCCCCTCCCACTGCAGGTGCTATACACGGGCATCGTGATCTACGCCCCAGCGCTCATTCTCAACCAAGGTTTGACTCTGGGAGATCAGGGGAGGGTCTCTGGGAAGGGGCAAAGGTTTACAGGCTGTACCAGAGGAGGGGACAGGGTTTGTCCCAGGAGACACTTGGGAGGGGAGACTCCTTCTAGAGAGAGGAAAGCCCAAGACACTGGAGGCCAAGTTTGCACCCCACTTGGTGACCTAATGGGGGGATCTCCTTAAACAGTGTCTGGGCTGGACATATGGGCATCACTCCTGTCCACTGGAGCCATCTGTACCTTCTACACCACTGTGGTGAGTGACCTCCCTCACTCCACTTGGGGGCTCCATGCCCACTGGGTCAGGGAGACCCTGGGCTGGCTGTCCATACTCCTTACCTTTCCTCCCTCCCGAGGAAACCCAGTCCCAACTGGGCCTGTTTCCTCATCTTTATAATGAAAGAATATTTGGAAGGTTTATTGGTTAGATTCCAGGGATAAGGTAGTTTCAGGCCTGGCTGGATCCAGGGGCTACAACAGTGTCCTTTGTGTGCTTCTCTTATCTCCAGGGTCCCGTCAGCTCCACGCATCCACCCCTTTGGTCAGAAAGTGAGCTCCTATTTCAGGGTGGGCTGGCTGAAGTCCAGGAGGGCTCTGTTGGGCTAGCTCTGGTCTTGTGTGCAGAATGAGCAGAAGTTCGGGGGGTTGGGATATTCTTTTTTTAACTGAATTTATTGGGGTGACATTGGTTAATAAAATTATATAGGTTTCAGGTGTACAATTCTATATGTCATCTGTATGTTGTACTGTGTGTTCACCACCCCAAGTTGTCTCCTTCCATCACCATTTATCTCCCCTTTACCTTCTTCTACCTCCCCCCACCTCCATTCTCCTCTGGTAGGCACCATGCTATTTTCTGTGTCTATGAGTTTGTTTATTTGTTTGTTTTTTACTTAATCCCTTCACCTTTTTAGATTAGGATATTCTAATTGGCTATTCCTGGAGCTGGGAGCAGGATTGGCCTCACCTGTACAGCTTGTGGGGGGAGAAGGGGCTTCTCCAAAGGAAAATCCAGGGACTGCCATGGAATGTAAAGGCATGGAGGCTGGAAGGGCAAAAAGAGCAGCTAATAATAATGGTAGTAGTAATAATAATAATAGTAGTAGTAGCAGCCATCACTCACTCACTCACTGAACACTTAAATGTGCCATTCCAAATATTTTTCTCATATTAAGTAATTTAATTCTTACATCCCCATAAGGAGAGTACTGTGGTATGTGGGTTTTTGTTTTTTTTTTAACTGATTCTAGAGAGAGGAAGGGGGGAGGGAGAGAGAGAGAAACATCAACCCGTTGCCTCCCGCACACGCCCTGACTGTGCCCCAACTGGAAATTGAACCAGCAACCTGGGTATGTGCCCTGACCGAGAATCGAACCTGCCATCTTTCCGTGTACAATGCTCCAACTAATTGATCCACACCAGCCAGGGCAGGAGAGCACTGTTATTAACCCTACTTTATAGATAAGGAAACTGAGGCAGAGAGGGGCATTGGTCCCAGCTACTACTGGAGGCCAGTCCAGACTGGCTGCAGCCAGTCTCCCATCTGACCCCTCTTTGCCTCACTCTGTCCTGTCCTGCAGGCCCCAGACAGGTCCCTGTCTGACCCCCTCTCTTCCTGTCTGTCACATCCTGCAGGGCGGCATGAAGGCTGTGATTTGGACTGACATGTTCCAGGTTGTGGTGATGCTGGCTGGTTTCTGGGTTGTCCTGGTTCGTGGGACCATGCTTGTGGGCGGGCCCAGGCAGGTGTTCAAACTGGCCCAGAACCAGTCCCGGATCAACCTGATGGAGTGAGTGAAATGTAGAGGGGGATATTGCAAGATGGAGCTGGCATCCCTCTGCCCTGAGAGAAGCCAGCCAATGCCTCCTACTCCAGGAAGCCCTCCCTGATTCCCTCCCAGACTCTCCACAGATAGTACCCTGGTTCCCCTTCTCTGTACTCTTCTGCCCCCTATTCTTCCGTCTGGCCCAGACCTCTCCCTACCCCACCCCCCAGGCTACACTGGGAACTAAAGGCTCTCTGAGGTCCCAGCTGGGCATAGAAAGAATGGTTTTGGAACACATACATAGATGACTCAGTAAACAAATAAATGAATTTTCAATCTGGCAAACTCCTGCTCACACTTCAAAACCCATCCGCATGTCTCCTTAAGGCTCTTAAGGGGAATGGCCATCTAGGACCCTTGGGAGTGTGAATTCAATGTGGCATCCCCATTGCCCTGCTTTCATCCAGCTTTGACCCAGACCCACGGAGTCGCTACACATTCTGGACTTTGGTGGTGGGAGGCACGTTGGTGTGGCTCTCAATGTATGGAGTGAACCAAGCACAGGTGCAGCGCTATGTGGCCTGTCGCACAGAGAAGCAGGCCAAGCTGTGAGTGTCCGGGGGTCAGGGGGGCATCTAGGATGTGCTGCCCCCCATCCCCAGCCTGAGGCACACCTCCCCACAGGGCCCTGCTCGTCAACCAGCTGGGCCTGTTCCTGATTGTGTCCAGTGCTGCTGGCTGCGGCATCGTCATGTTCACGCTCTATATGGACTGTGACCCCCTCCTCACAGGGCGTATTTCTGCCCCTGACCAGGTGAGTCTGGTCCAGGCTCCTAGGCTACTCCTGACCCCGTCCCCACTCTGAACCTCTATATGGGTGACTCTCTGGGAATGAGGGTAGAAAAGCTTTCCTAGCAGCCTGTGCAAAATCCAGAGGCAGGAGAGAGCTTGGCTCAGAGGAGGGCCTGGGAGGAGTGGGGAAGATGAAGCTGGGAGGCAATGAGGAGCCATGGTGGATGCGAGCAGGAGAGGGGCACATTCAGATTTAGTCATAGACTCCCTGAGAGGTATCAAGGAGAAGATGGGACCATGGTCCAGCACACAGTGACGGTGTTAGTAATAATGACCAGCTCCTGTGTCCCAGACACCGACTCTGTACCTCATGCTGTTCCCCTTCACAAGCAGTTTCCCATCAAACCCTTCAACATGTGATGAGGCCAAGGATGCCATGGTGCCCACTTTACAGATGAGCAAACAGAGGCTGGAGGGGGTAGGAGGCAACTGCCTAAGGTCCACAGGCAAGTCAAGGGCAGTGCCAGGGCCAGGATCAATACCTAGATCACACCCCAGCTGGAGCTCTAGCCATGGGGTTCAGAGTGGGCAGAGGCTGCAAGGCTATTGCATCTGCTGTCTCCTGGGGTCAGAATCCCGACTGCCTGACTGCAACCTCAGGCAGGGCTGCACCTCTCAGCTTCACTGGCCTCGTCAGTAAAGTGGAGATGACACGGAACCCTGTTTCACTGGGATCCCAGGGCTCTGTGCACCATCACAGGTGCATGCAGCCCATTAACAAACACACGCTAAGTGCCCAGTGTGAGCCCAGTCTGCACTGGGTGCTGGGGACATGCAGGGTAAGGACAGACAGAAGCCCCACCTTCTGGGGCTGATCCCCACCTCCCCCCAGTACATGCCCCTACTAGTGCTGGACATCTTCAAGGACCTGCCTGGAATCCCTGGGCTCTTTCTGGCCTGTGCCTACAGTGGTACCCTCAGGTGAGTGGCCCTGCCTGCCCACCCAGCCATGTCCCAGCCCCTCAGAGCCTTGTCCCTACCAGCCACCCCCCTTATGGATAGAATGCTCTAGATGTATCTACCATTTACAGTTCCTGCTTGATTCCCAGCAGGCAGCTCAGGTGGGTTCTGGCAGAGGGCACACCCTGGGCACAAGGGCCCCAACTGTGGGGTATTCACCTTCTTAGCACCTGGCAGCCACATCTGGCTCCCCTTTCTTTCTTCCTTCTCTCAGTCCTTCCCCAAACAAATGTTTATTGAGCACCTACTATGTTCTGCACCTGCTGTTTTAAATCCTGGGGCACAGCTGTGACCAAGTGGTCCCCCCACTCCTGCCCTTATGGGCCTCACATTCTGGTAGTTTTAAATCTTCCATGACTTTTGGCCACAGGGTGACCAGGGTCCCATGTGGCAGTTCTCCGTGCCCCATTATTGCTCTGTAACAAGAACTTGTGTCATTTGCGTGCCTGGTTGTAGGTGTCCCTGTTCCTTTGTGGAGAAGTCTCAAGTCTTGAGTGAGGGTGGGGGTGGACATCTCCTCAAATCTTGGGGGAGTCTATCACCCATTCCTCTGTCCTTGGGCTAGGTGGGGTCCTGGCAGGTCAGCTGGTGTGGGCAGCTAGGGACATCCCCAGTCAGTGGTCCCCAGAGATGGTGTGGCCAGTCTCTGGATGCGGCCTGACCACATGCTCCCCCTCTCCCTCTGCCCCCCAGCACCGCATCCACTAGCATCAACGCCATGGCTGCGGTCACCGTGGAGGACCTCATCAAACCACGGCTGCCCAGCCTGGCGCCCCGGAGACTCGTAATCATCTCCAAGGGGCTCTGTGAGTTAGGGGGCTCTGGGCGAGGGGCCAGGGCATCCTCTCCTCACTGACAGTGCCATCCCCATCACTACAGCACTCATATATGGCTTGGCCTGTATCACGGTGGCAGCTCTGTCTTCCCTGCTGGAAAGCGGCGTCCTCCAGGTGAGCGCTCTCCCCAACCCTGCTCCATCTCCCCGAGAGGTGGGGCACCTCCTGCCTTGCGCCGAGGGTGGAGAGGGTCATACACCCTCTAGGGCCCGCCGCGCACCGGCGCGTGGATTTTCCTGCAGCCACCTGGGCTGTGTGAAGGGAGGTGGGGGGCGGCGGCCTGGGGGCGGGAAGAGACTCACGGATGTGAGATGGCCCCCGGCGTCCGTTAAGAGAGAGAATGGGCATCTCTGCCTACAACCCAGGGGAGAGAGACAGAAACAGAGCGTCCCCTCCCCTTTAGCGAAACTGAGGCACAGAGGAGTCCGGGGCCGCAGTGGGACCCCTCAGGTCTCGCTTTCCGGGGGGTAAACTGAAGCCCCGAGAGATGGGGTGGCTCCGCCCCCCGTCACACCCCACCCTCTCCCCCAGGGCTCCTTCACTGTCATGGGCGTCCTCAGCGGGCCCCTCCTCGGAGCCTTCACTCTGGGAATATTCCTCCCCGCCTGCAACACACCCGTGAGTGGGGGGGCGGGGGGCGCTGGACGCGGGGCCGGGCTCCGCGCGCGCTCACCCCCCGCGCTCCCAGGGCGTGCTCTCCGGGCTGCTGGCCGGCTTCCTGCTCTCGCTGTGGGTGGCCGTGGGCGCCACTCTGTACCCGCCCAGCGCGAAGTCCATGGGGGCCCTGCCGTCCTCTGCTGCCGCCTGCGCGGGGCCCTCGGCCAACGCCTCTGGCCTCCTAGGGCCCCTCCTGCTCGCCAACGCCTCCAGTGGGGCTCCCGGGTGAGCGGGGTGGGGGGCTTGGCGTGAGAGAGCGTGGCGGGGAGGGGACCCTTAAACTGCGTTTCCAAATGCGGAGGAGGAGCGGGGCTTGGGAAGAGGGAAGGGAAGGGCATCGCGGGATTGAGGGGGGGAAATGCAAGGCCAGGTTCACATTAGTGTACTGGCTGTGGTGAGGTTGGGTGAATTTAAAGAGGGAAGAAAGGATATATTAGGTCCAGCCAGGGGAGTTTGGTCTGATTTTTTTTTATTGTGATATAATTTGCAGACCATAAAATTAGTCGTTTAAAAGGGGTTTTAGTATATTCGCGTGGTTGCACTACCATCACCACTACCTAACTCAAGAAATGTTTCATCACTTCAAAAGGAAGCCCTGTGCCCATAGCAGTCACTCCCTTTTCCCCCTCCCCAGCCCCTGGCGGCCACTAATCCACTTTCTGTCACTATGGATTTGCCTGTTCTGGACATTTCACATTAAGGGGATCATACTATGTGTGGTCTTCTCTGTTTGACTTCTCTCACTCAGGTTGATGTTTTTCAGGTTCATCCGCAACATAGCGCTGACAAATAAGTAACATTTCCTTGTGTGGATTGACCACGTTTTGTTTGTCTATTCATCGGTTGATGGATATTTTGGTTGTTTCTACTTTTTGGTGATTGTGACTAGTGTTGCTATGAACATTTATGTACAAATTGGTGTGGACATATGTTTCATTTCTCTTGGTCTATACCTGGGGGTGGAATCGCTGGATCATATGGTGATTCTATGTTTAACTTTTTGAGGAATCACCAGACCGTCCTCTACATTCCCACGAGCAATGTATGAGAGTTCCAATTTCTCCACATCCTTGCCAACACTTTTCATTTTCCTTTTTTAAAAAAAAAAAATTCTAGACATTCTGTGGGTGTGAGGTGGTATCTCATTGTGTTTTTTAAAAAATATATGTTTTTATTGGTTTTAGAGAGAGAGGGAAGGAGAAGGAGAGGGAGAGAGACAGACAGACAAACATCGATGATCAGCTGCACGCCTCCTACTGGGGACTGAGCCTGCAACCTGGGCATGTGTCCTGACCAGGAATCGAACCAGTGACCTTTTGGTTCATGGCATGATGCTCAACCAACTGAGCCACATTAGCCAGGGCATCATAGTGGTTTTTTGGGGTTTTTTTATTTGTTTTTTTAAAAATATATCTTTATTGATTTCACAGAGACGAAGGGAAAGGGAGAGAGAGAATTGAAACATCAATGATGAGAGAGTCGTCACTGATCGGCTGCCTCCTGCAGGGCCCCAACTGGGGATCCAGCCTGAAACCCAGGCATGAGCCCTGACTGGGAATCGAACCTCGATCTCCTGGATCCTAGGCAGATGCTCCACCGCTGAGCCACGCTGGCCAGGCATCATTGTGGTTTTGATTTGTGTTTCTCTAATGACAAATGATTTTGAATATCTTTTCATGTGCTTGTTAGCCATATGTATTTCTTCTTTGGAGAAATATCTATTTCAATCCTTTGTTCATTTTTAAATTGAGTCTTTTTAATGTTGAGTCATCATTTATATATTCTTTATATCTTTATATATTCTGAATACCAGGTCCTTATCAGATGTATGATTTGCAAATATTTTCTCACATTCTGTGGGTTGTCTTTTTGTGTGTGTGTGTGTTAGGGTTAGGTTTTTTAAATTGAATTTATTGGGGTCACATTGGTTAATAAAACCATACAAGTTTCAAGAGTACAACTCAATAACACTTTACCTGCGTACTGCATTGTGCACTTGCTGCCCAAAATAACATCTCCTTCCATCCCCATTCTGTGGGCTGTCTTTTCATTCTCTTGACAGTGTCCTTTGATGCACAAGAATTTTTCATTTTGATGAAGTTCAATGTACCTGTTTTCTTGGGTTGCTTGTGCTTTGGTGTTATATCCAAGTAATGATTGCCAAATCTAAAGTCATAAAGATTCACACCTATGTTTTTTTCTAAGACTTTAATTTGATTTTATTCTTAGGATAGTAGTGAGCCACAGAGGGTAATGAGCAGAGGCAGGAGGTTAAGGTTATTTGAGTTACATTTTAGTAACACTCCCTCTGGTTATGTGTAAAGAAAGCCTGGGAGTAGGACAGGATGGCCGGAGAGGAGTATTGGCTACTGCACACATCTGGGTGACCAATAATAGAGGACTGGGCTAGGCCATGCAGTGAAGATGAAAGGAAGGGAATGGACTGAGAGTGGCTTCTAGACTCATGCTCACCTCTCCCACCCCCAGAATGGACCCTGGCCGACCCACCTTGGCTGACAGCTTCTACGCCATTTCCTATCTTTATTATGGTGCCCTGGGCACACTGAGCACCATGCTGTGCGGAGCCCTCATCAGCTACCTGACAGGTAAGCAGGGCTTGTGGCTTCTTCAGAGGTCACCCTGTTCATTCCTCTGCCTCCAGGACCCACTGGGCAGGAAGAAGAGGAAGGATGCTCCCATTGGCCAAACAGCCACTATATACTGGACACATCTGCACCCTTGATGCTGCATCACCTTCGGGACCACCCTGCACCTTGCAGGCCTTGCCCTATTTAGCAAAGGCAGAAACTGAGACACACCCGCAGCCCCAAAGATTAGATCTTTGCTGGGAATTGTGGGGTGGGGCCACGAGATGCTGTCTATGGTGCTGAAATACCTTCTCATCAGGGCCTTGTTCACTCTGCACCCCAGGGGGAACTCTGGACCCCACAAAGAAGTGAAAAGAGATCAAGAGAAATCAAAAGTGACAACAGTACCTGTTCCCACTTTCTGAGTGTAGGCTTTACATTTACCAGGCCTTTATTGAGTCTGTCTCTGTTCCGTGAACAGAACCACACACTGGACCCTCCCGACCATTCACCGATGTATAGATGAGAAAACTGAAGCCCAGAGAGGGGCAGAGGCTTGCCAAGGTCCCTCAATGGGTCACTGTCAGATCTTGGATTGGAACCCATCTGAGCTTTCCCTTCCCTTCCCAGTCTCCAGTTTCCACCACCCATGACTAAATGACCCCAATTCTCTCTGACACCCCAGGCCCAACCAAGCGCAGTGCCCTGGGTCCTGGTCTGCTGTGGTGGGACCTCACATTGCAGACAGCATTGGTGGCTCCCAAGGAAGAAGTGGCCACTCAGGATGACAGCTTGGTGAAGGTCAGTCTCAGGGCTGGGATCCCAGAGTGAGGGAAGGGACAGTAAAGTAGCTGTGAAGTAGCTTGGGGTGCTCTGGGCATGGCTGTAATTCAAGGGAATGGTATGACAATCAGTCACTGTCTTTCTCAACTTCTTGTTACCACCAGTGGAAAGACTCAGTTGGAGCTGATGTATCTTCAACATTTTTTATTACCCCCTTTAACAAAGACTAAGCAGAAGTTCATAATTTTCATTGTATCTGTTTTTACACTTACTTCCAATCTATGGCAGGTGAAACTGGTTTGCCTTTAGGGTATTGATATAAAGTCTCTTCCGATAATAAAATTGCTTCATTCAAAAGTGAGTCAGCCCTGGCCCTTTTGGCTCAGTGGCTCAGTGGTTATAGCATCAGCCCATGGATGGAAGGATCTGGGTTTTGATTCTTAGTCGAGAGCACGCACCTCGTAGGTCAGTTGATCCCCCGGCCCAGTCGGGGCGCGTGTGCAAGACAGCCAATCAATGTGTCTCTGTCACATCGATGTTTCTCTCTCTCTCTCTTCCTCTCTCTCTCCCCTCCTCCTCCCCCTCTCTCTAAAAAAATATCAATGGAAAAAATATCCTTGGGTGAAGGTTAACAAAAAAAAACACACACACAAAAAAAGTGAGTCAGCATAGAGATAATCTTATAGAAGAAATGGACAGGTTAGACAGACTTTGCTCAAAGCCTCATGGTTGCTCTGAATGCCTTGAGTTTGGGAAATGTTGTCCCTGAGGGGCCTGATTCAGGCCTGCCCCTGCTTTGCACTCCATTTCATTTCCTCACTCATTAAGCACTTGCTGTGTACTTCGCCCTGCTCTGCTCTGGTGTCCAAGCCCACTGTCTAGCAGGAGCAGATAAAAACTAAACAGTAGGTTCTTTGGCAGGGGTAAGTGTGAGGAAGACAGCAAAACAGAATACTGCAATGAGGGCGGCCTCCTGGAAGAAGGGACATTGATAGAGCCTTGGAACGAGGAGAGAAGGAGCCAGCTGAGGACGGGCAGTCTCAGTGGAGGGCACAGCAGGCGTAAAGGCCCTGAAGCTGGAACAGGGTTGACAAAGGGGGAGACTGGGGAGGAAACAGATTTGGCTGAAATGTTTTAAAGCTCCCTTGGGCTGCTGTGGGGAAATATTTATTTTCTTGAAGGGGAACGGAGAGAGTCAGGGAGAGAATGGAGGCAGGCAGGCATGCAAGCGTTGATGGCCAGGACTATAGGTGACATGGGCATGGGGAAGAGAAGTGGATGGAGATTTGGGGGACTGGCTAATGCACTGGGCAAGAGGACATTGTGCAACCCTGCCCGGATGCCACCCTCCTAGGTCCTCAGTGTTCCCATCTGGGAGATGAGCAGACACAGAAAAAGGGGTCTCTGAAGAGGTCTTTCTTCTCTCCTCCCCACAGGGGGCTGAGGAACTGTCTCCCAGGGCTAAGAGGCCTCCTGACTTCCTGCCCACCAACGAGGACCAGCTGCTCTTCCTGGGGCAGAAGGAGGTGAAGGGAGCCAGCTCTGGCTCCTGGAACCCTCGCAGTGGGCGCGAGGGTGGCCGCGGCCTGCGGGAGACAGACCTCTCTGAGCCCGCCCAGGACTGACCACCAGGAATGGAACCTCAGGGTGGGCCAGTCCCAGACCAGGGGACAATGGCCTCGGACGCTGATTGGTTGGATGGTTTCATATGCAAATGAGCTCAGGACTGCAGGTCCCCACCCTGTGGGAAGAGGCAAGCCCCATCTCTGGAAAGTCATTTTGGCCAGCCTCCTGCTTCCACACAGCCGCTAGTCTTAGACGCTGTATCCCCGCCAGCACCTCAAAATGAGGTCAGATTTGTCCATACCTACGAAAAAAAGATGTTGGAGCCCGTCCCACGTGGCTCAGTGGTTGAGCATTGACCTAGGATCCAGGAGATCGCGGTTCGAACCGCGATCTCCTGGTCAGGGCACATGCCCGGGTTGCGGACTCGATCCCCAGTTGGGGANACCGCGATCTCCTGGTCAGGGCACATGCCCGGGTTGCGGGCTCGATCCCCAGTTGGGGACATGCAGGAGGCAGCCGATCAATGACTCTCTCATCACTGATATTTCTATCTCTCTCTCTCCCTCTCCGTTCCTCTCTCTGAAATCAATAAAGATATATTAAAAAAAAAAGTTGGAGTCCCCTCTGGACAACATGGGAAACCTCCAGGTTCAACATGAGGGTCTGAGAGTCCGAGAAAGACCCCAACTCTTTCTGCAAGGTGTCTGAACCTTAGCAAGGATTTTGGAGGTTCTCAGGCCCAGCCCCCTGCACCTCATTTCACAGGTGAGGAAACTGAGAACTGGAGAGGGGCAGGGATATGGCCAAGGTCACAGGACAAAGCAGAGATGCGCTGAGAATTGGACACCGGCTTGTCTTCCGCCCCCTTCCTTTGAAGGGTCAGAGGCCAGGTGCCCTCTGACCCTGAGAGCATGATGGGAGGAGGAAGGAGAAATTACTTTTCAGCTTTCCTCCTGCGTCCGGACACTTGCCCCAGCTCATTCATTAAGGACTGTGAACTCGCTTTGCAGAGGAAGAAACTGAAGTTCAGTCAGGTTGCCTGAGTCTGGTTGGGCAGGGACGGGCCTGGGTGCCGCATGGCGCTGGGGCTCCACTGAGGACACATCCCTGGTGTACAGGGCCCGGTCGACTGGGCGAGTGCACGCCCCTGACCCTTGGCTGGAGACTTCATCCACACACATCAAATAAATGAACTCTGAGGCTTGATATCCTGGGCTCTCTGAGAAATTATTCTGGCCTCAGATCTCGCAGTCAAATCTGAGTTCAGATCTGAGTACAAATCTCTGTGTCTCTTGCTCAAGCCTACAAATGAATAAACCTGAGTATTTAAATCACCAGAGAGAGGTGACCACTCCCACATCAGGGTGCATTGTACAGCCCTCCCAGGCACACAACTTGTCTCCCCTCATGACTCTTTCTTGAAGCACTCCCTCCTTGCTGCCCTTTGCACCTGGATAGCCTCTGCGATGTCCCTGCACCACCCCCGGGGTCTCTGTGACCATGAAAGCTGGCTGCACTTGCCTCTGCCCTCACCTGCCATGGCTTCCCTGCTCACCTGGCAGTCGGGGCTGCCAGGCTCAATAGAGTCCTCCCCAAAAAATTCATGTCCACCTGCAACCTCAGAATGTGAGTTTATTTAAAAATAAGGTCTTGGCAGGTATACTTAGTTAAATTAAGATAAGGTCATACTGGATTAGGATGGGCCCTGAATTCAATGACTGTGTCCTTATAAGAAGAGGAGAGACCCAGAGACATAAACACATAGGGAGAAAGTCATGTGGACATGGAGTCAGAGATTGAAGTGATGCTGCCACAAGCTTTGAAATGCCTGGGCCACCAGAAACGAAAGAGGCAAGGAAGAATCCTCCCCACAACCTTCAGAGGGAGCACTGCACTGCCAACCCCTTGATTCTGAACTTTTGGCCTCCAGAACTGTGAGAGAATAAATTTTTATTGGTTTTAAGCTATGACAGTGATAGCAAACTAATACAGTAGTCCCCCCTCATCCACAGTTTCACTTTCCAAGGTTTCAGTTACCCACGGTCAACTGAGACCTGAAAACATTACATGGAAAATTCCAGAAATAAACAACTTATAAGGTTTTTAAAAAATATTTTTTATTGATTTTTAGAGAGAGAGGAAGGAAGAGGGAAAGAGAAAAACATTGATGTGAGAGCATAATGTCGATTGGCTGCCTCCTGCACCACCCCTCCCAGGGACTGAGCCTGCAACCCAGGCATGAGCCCTGACCCAGAATTGAACCAGCAACCTTTCGATGCACGTGGCGATGCCCAACCAACTGAGCCACACCAGCAAGGGCAACAATTCATAAGTTTTTAATTGCACACAGTTCTGAGTAGCGTGATGAAATCGCTGCTGTCCTGCTTGGTCTGACTCTGGCTATCCAATTTGGATATAGTTTTAAAAATTTAATGAATGAATTAATTTTATTTTTTATTGTTAATACTGTTACAGATGTCCCCCATCCTCCCCTTATCCCCTCCACTCAGTCCCTGCTCCCCTAAGCCTTCACCATGAGCTATGCATATATACATACATGTCCAATTTGGATATCTTTAAGTTCTTTTTTATTCCTAACTACTTTGTCTGGAACTTCTAATACTATGTTGGTAGAAATAAAAAATTATAAAAAAGAAGCAGACATTCTTGATTTTAGACCTCAACTCACTAGATGCCAGTAGCACCCTCCCGCAGTGTGACAACCAAAAATGTCTCCAGACATTGCCCAATGTCCTCTGGGGGCAAAACTTCCCCTGGATAAGAACCACTGGTCTATGCCTATACAAGTACTACCCTGTCTTGACTCCCATAGCTTTATAGTAAGACCTCTCAGCATCGTCTAAGACCAGGGACTCTGAGCCTTTGAATGATGCTGCCTGAACCTGGCCCAAGGAAATGGACTGGTGTGTACAGGGGAACACATTGGAGGTCAGAAAAACAGGGCTGGAGGGAAGAAAAAAAAGGAAAGGAAAGGAAAGGAAAGGAAAGGAAAGGAAAGGAAAGGAAAGGAAAGGAAAGGAAAGGAAAGGAAAGGAAAGGAAAGGAAAGGAAAGGAAA